CATTTTGTAATTGGTAAAGGATGGATAAACTACCAACAAAGTATAAAAGCCTTCAGCACAGCACTGATCTGCAATCCCAATCTGAAAGCCATTTTTAGCGCTCTATAATGCATTCAAATAAAATTATGAAACACTAGAATTATCTGTTTGGTTTGGTTTGTGACACCACTGTGTGTCATTCTGTGGAGCCACTTGTATGATATTAATGTTCCAGTTCTCTCCTTTTTTAATTTTTTACCTGGCAGCACTCAGGAGGTAGCGATACTTTTTTTTATTGGTGCAGTTATTGTAATATTACTGTTTAAATGCTTTCATTTTGTATTTATGTACACCTCTCCGGCAGTAGCCCCGCATTTCGCTGCTGTATTTGAAAGTAAATAAAGATAACATCATGGGCAGTAGCAGCCCGCAAACTCACGGGCTGAAGAGAAGAGACACAAAGTCATCCCATGAGTATGTGCACTGTTGCTGCCCATTATATATCACCAACTAGCCAAACTATCAGTCCTGCTTCAGATAACATCAGACAGCATTCCACGCAGTGTTCTATTACAATCTTATGACCGATATCTGTTGCATCATCAAGTGTTGGGTGTGGTTTATTGCTTAGGAAAACCTTTTGGCTGCAGACAATGTTCAAAAGCCTTCCGCACAGGGTTCAGTTGCAATCTTATTACCGATATCTGTGACTTCATGAAGTGTTGAGTGCGGTTTATTGCTTTAGAGAATACTTTTTCTACAGATAACGTCGAGAAGTCGAGAGAAGGCTGCTGAGTAAAAGTAAGATGCCTCATACAAATGTCATTCATTACGCTTTGTGCTTTGCAAGAATAAAACAACACGCTGTAGCTACTTCTGGGAGGAATACACCTGGCGGAGCAACGTTACAATAATCAAAGCGGTCGTGTCAGCACCTCAGCTATCTCCAACATACACCGTTTTTTGCGCTCAAAACAAGAAGGCTGTTTTTCCCACCCCTCTTCCCCGAGTAGCCGCTACACCACAGTTTCACAGATCTGTGAAAGCGATCCACAGCCATTAACAAGCAAGCAGCCACCCTCTTTGTTCCCTGAAGATGCCTATCTTTTGTAGTTTTCTTATGACGGCCTTGGATATTTGAGAGTGTTGTCTTTGTGGAAAAGTCTCTCTGGAGCCTTTATTGCTTCTCAGCGCAGCACCGTCTACAGCAAAGCAAACATTCGAACAGTCCAAGAACAAATAAGCCTCTGCCCCACTATCCTTCTTCTTCAGTCAGTGTCATGTGTAATTTTCTGCAGTCTTAAAGCAAGATCCTATTCAGGGTTTGTAAAATACCTCTCAATAAAGCACCAAAGTGAACCGGCTGGCGACTTCTCTAGCGCTCTCATTTGAACACAGCAGATCGGGTGTCTGGAGTGTTGTCCTCGCCCAAATACCATGGGGTCTCCTTTTTTTCGACAGCACAGATACGGATAATCGTTCAATATACCACATCGTCGGCTCCTTTTGTTACGAGTTGTCGTTGACCAAGCCCTTCTCACCAGCCAAGAGCAACATCCTGAAGCGGCGTCAACGCGACAGTCATACTGCAAATTTTGCAGGGCCAGTGGCTCTCGCGTGAAGCCCTCGTGAAAGCCTCTTGGAACACACTCGACCATCTGATGGCTTAAAAAGAAGTATTTGTACCTGGAGTGCTTTTGTTCAGCAGGGTACACTGGACAATGAGCCGAGTGCCTTGGATACGTCTCGGTTTATGTTTCGGACGAGCAAGTGGTCTGCCCGGTGGCAGAAACTCTATTGATGAGTAAACACGACACTGAACTACACAGTCGATCTGCACTTGGGAGACATCGTCACTGCCCTGTGCTGTGTTGTGCATATTATAACATTGTGCATTGTGTAGTGTTTCTCCCTCGCCGTGCCACGAACTGGGCATGCCTCTTTTTTTCCTGTGTTGGAAAAGAGGAGGGGTCTAATCTTCCCTTTTGCTGCCAGAGATGAGGACTACCTCTTCATGGGACTGTTCTGTACTACATTGTCTCTCCTTGTAGGGAAGCTTTGAAAGACCCAGACCATAAAACGTGATTACTGAGACGCTCGAAGGATGCTAGCATCATTCATGTTATATATATCGCGCTCCTTCATCACGTGAATTACTGTAAAAAAAATTTTCCTGTCATCAGCTCAGGCTCCTTTGTTCGTCCTCTCTCTGGGACTGAGATGGCTTCGGTCCAGACCATACTACCCAAAGTTGCAACAGCGGTGGCAACATTGGGAAGCTGTGACACCCCTTTTGCAACAGTTATGGAAGCGGTGGAATGCATCGACACCCGTTTCGCAACCAGCGACGGGACGCCCTAACTATTTGATCCACAACAGAAGCGCGCTGCTTCGCAGGGACCAGAAGCAGGATACTGGGTTGCCCAGTTGCCGATGGTTGCAGGCTTTCAGCTCGCGGCAGCGACAATATAGGAGATGGATATGTATAGCAGAAAGGAAAAAACGGTGACTATGGCGGGGAAGAAAAGGTGGTGGGTAAACAAAAAGAGGCATGCCCGCCAAATATACTTCGACAAGCCAACCAAGAGACATTCTTCGAATTTTTAACAAACTTTTTGTTCAATAAGCATTGCTACTTGTGATGCCCTAAATGTAGCAGGTAGCCTATGTAATGTGCCCATCACAAAAGAATCGAAAATATCAGTAGCTTAATATAATTTTTGAGGTGCAACTCAGACCAGGAAAGAAAAAAAAGGAGACAGGATAGGGCGCCAGTCTAGCAGCTAGTCCTTCTTTTTCATTATTAAAAATCCTTCTTTCATATATACATAGTTGGCCACGTGATAATTTCAGTGCATTGATGAATTTAATTACAGCATTTCTTTCTCTGAAAACAGTAATAACGGTGAGCTGACACATTTCTCCCCTTCGATGATTATGATATTTGCTTCGATGATTTTGCAAGTACACATATCTTTGTGCTGGCTGATTATGATACATCTTGTATACATAGATGAACAACCACAGCCATTGCAATGTGTGGGCATGTCTGAGCTGTGCCGCAACTAATATATATGTACGTGCCAGTGCATGGAGATGAAGAGGACAAAGCAGATAGACTGGAGCGAGCTAATCTGTGTGGCTGGCGCTGCTCGCTTAACCGGCTGGAAATATATCTGTGTCTACTATTCCGAGTCTGTCTCCTTCTCGTAACATATTTGGTGGAGGTGCTCGGAGAGAATTTAGGCGAGACTGTAGGGGTCATGTTGAAAGCGGCAAGCAAGCGTCCGCTTCAAAGTTCCTTGGCGAAGACTGGGATCGCGCCACTCCACCAAATATGTTATGAGAAGGGAACCGATTCAGGCACAGATATATTTCCAGCTTTCTCGTAACAATATTAGGCTATTAAATTCCAAATCACCCAAAAAACAGCTCTCTTTAGATACATCAGTAGCTCCTGCACGAAACCAACACCATGCATTTTTGGAAACTCGGAAAAGGCAAAAGCAGGAGGATGAGAAACAAAAAAAAGAAATCGTGAATTGAGGAAAAGGTTAAAATGCTTACAAAAAAGGAAAAGAAACTAGAAGCTGCTGTAAAGGAATTAATAGTTGCAGCAGACTCATGTGTAGAAAAGGCTCAGACAATTAACGACTTGACGCACACCAAGTCAAAAAGCCCTACGAAGCTGCCAAAAACAGGCAGAAAGGGTAGTGGATATTGATATGCAAATTCAGGAAAAGCAACAAGGCATTATATAGTAATGGTCCTTTAATTTTTTTTTCCTTTTTGAATAAAAGTTTGCAACTTCTGTCATACTGAAAGTGATTACCTATGCAACTTTAAACAACTATTATTGAGAGTTGTCTAGAAAAAAAAAATGTCATTGGAGCCACGTTTTCAATGTCTTTTCCAGTGATATTTCCTCTTTTTTGAAGAATTCTAGTTATTTCATGCTTTTATTCTCCTTTGAACATGTGTCGATTGGTTTCCAACATACAATATGGTCCTTGAAAATTCGCACACATAGCCTTCTAAACACTTGAATATTCTTGGAAAATTGTCATGTAACCATGCATGAACCCTGTACCTATAGCCTTCAAAAGACAAAAGCACTCATGCAATGTTGCACTACGGTATTCAAAGGACTGTTTATACAGTGTGTACAAGAAATGTGGTGTACCAGATACCTCTGAATTGTGGTCGTGTTTATATTCGACAGCCTAGTCAAGTTTTAATGACAGGGCTGGACAGCACAATAATGATGTCAAGAAAGGATGTGGTAGCCACTTAGCAGAACGTCGCAAGTAATGTGCTTGTACACCTTATTTGATAGATTTTTAGTAAAACTTGTTGTTGGGCCAGTTGGTTCATGTTACAAGAAAATTGGATGACGCAAACCACCAGTGGCGAGTTGACGCTCTCTTTCCTTTTGCCTCACCTTCCCTGGCTGCTTACGTTGTCTAATTTTTTTGGAAGTGGCTTTTCTTTCAATGCATTTGGTTGCATGACAATGTTTTCAAATTTCAATGCCTAAGGTTGAACCATGCAATCTTTTTTGGGATAATGTGCGCGTATGTACGAGCTTCACACGTGGGTGTATTGTGTTAATGTTTCAAATAATTGCAAGGTGCAAGTATGAGCGCCAGTGCTGTTGTATGTGTTTTATCTTCATCGTTTGTGCTTTTCAAGTTTTTTTTAACAAAAACTACCTGCTGCTTAAATGTTAAAAGAGTTACATAACATTACACAGTGTGAATAATGTATGGTCATATTTAAGGAGATCACCACTGTAATGATTGATTTCTGTAGTTCGCCTGTTTTCGTCGTAACAAAAGTGCAGTTCCCAAAATCAGAAGATTTAACCCTTGCTGTAGAATCACGTCTCCAGGAAAACAATCCCTCATAGCCTTGGTTTGTTTACTCTGCTAAACAAGGAAGTGTGCATGGCAAATACTGACTCGATGGAAAGCCAGTTAATGCTAGATGCATACAATGTGTTCTCCTCTTCCCATTTTCAGAGGCTTCTTGGTGTCAGCATTCACCCGCGATATGGTGGGTGGTTCGCATTTCGAGCCGTGCTCATCTTCCACGATGTCAGTGTACCAGATCTGCAGCGGAGGCAGCCGGTGGATGTTGTTTGTTCTGACGAGCAGCGAAAAAACCTTGTGCGCCTGTTCAACTTCTCATGGCGTGATGGACGCTATCGTGACATCATCAATGTGGAGGAGCGCTACTCTGTGAGACAGCAGGAATACTTCAACACGCTACCTGCCTACAGGTGGCAGCTCATTGAGAAGTGGAGGCAAGAGGCTAGCTCCCGCACGCAGCTCTCCTGATGACGCTTGCATTGGTTAGATGGCGAAACTTGTAGTCAAAATTCCACATCTTGAATTAACATTCTAAGCGTTGGAAATTCATCCAGTTCCACAAAATTTTCTATAGGTGGCATGGAAACTGTAATTTCTGTGAGTTCGTTTATTTAAACGAAGACGTTCTATGGCATCAGTTAAAAGAAGATGCAGAAAGAATGTGTTGTGAAATGGGGGCCTATTTCCAGCTACTACATTTCAACTTGTGCATGGGCATTTTCGACATGGCCAGTAAGTTAACCTCCAGGCTTATGTGCCTTTGTGTTGATTTTCTAATCGTTTTCTGGGTATGGATAAAGTTGTCTGTGTGGCATGGCCAGCTCCGTCAAGTGGTTTTGTTAAAGGGACGCCGAACAAAGCTTCTGCTGGCAAGATTTTCGGCAGTATTGAGACTCGGGTGCTAAAAGTTGTTAGCACACATTGTTTTCAGGTAAAAGCAGGTGGAAAATAATGAAATTATTGCATTTTTTATAAACTCCTGCATCTAGCAGCTGAGCTAAGAGGCGGCACCTCCCCAGGGAAGTAAGCATGGCTACCGTGTCCAGCCTCTTGCTCTCCAAAAACACTTTCTAAAACCATATCAGATAGATGGCACCTGGACTGAACAGTACTTCCAGGTGGGGCAAGTCTCAGCACTTCTTTGAAAAGACACCCTGCTTCTGCAGTGGGGATGTCGATGTGCAGCTCTGTGCACGGTGCTGTACAGCCACTCATAATCCTCCAAAAAATGCAGGTCTCCATTGCAAACCAACTTCTGTTCGTTGTAACACTGCTGTCTTTCAAGTGGAATCGATCACTTCTACCTAGTTTTGTTCAGTATCCTTTTAGACATGTTCATAACCAGCATTTGTGCTCTTCACAAGAAAAACAGGTTGCATGTGTGGTGATAGCGTGCAGGATAATTGAATGCTCCAGTTTATATTCAATTTATTTTCATCAGCTCACAAAGGGATCAAGTTGTGATATTGATTTAACCAAGTCCCAAACTACCTAAAAGAAAATTGTTTACTACTATTGGTTCAATTTTTTATTTACTTCATTGGCATCATGTAGATAAAAAGACTGCAAATAAAAGATTTTGCATAAATGGCTGCTGGCAGGGCAAAACTTGACTGCAATTTCGCAGCCATGCCTATGTAATTATAATAAAAAAATGTTTATAGTAGACAAGCCTGTTAAAACTTAGCTCAGGTGTGCATAAATATTGAACTGGTGACTTGATTTCTGTTGAAATCGAGCTCTGATATAAATATATAAAAATGGTAGAATTATATTCTGCAGTGTTTATTAAAACTAAGTTCGAATGGGGTGATTGCTGAACATAATAATTGAGAGCACAGGTTTACTTTGTATTTTAATGCTTCGGAAAAAGTTATACTTCAGAAAAAAATTGGCCCCATATCTGCATGTAATCCGCAAATGTCGTCGAAAGACGATAGTCTTGCGTGTGGCGAGAGTGAACAAAACATTTATTTGATGTTCTGCGCAAGTAAATCGGTGAGTGGTATTCCGGAAGCGCTGTGTTAGAGTGCCTCGAGCGGGCAGCGGAGGCTCACAAGCGCATCAAGTCATGTCACACGTGAGCCATGAGCGCCATTTGGCAGTTTCTTTTGGAAAACAAAGCATGTGGCCGTGCGCGCCCGTCTCGGAGGTGATAAGGTGTAGAACTCGAGGTGACAGGTAAGTGTCAGCACCATCTCGTCTTAGCAAAGCGTTGGAAACACTTCCCGCTCCGTGCAATCGTTGCATGGTAAGCGCAGCGTGATAAGCGCTACGGTCCTTAATATTACTTAAGTATGCGTTTTCTAGTAAGGGATGCATATGCAGAATATGTGCGTGTCGTTATGGTGCCTCAGACTTGTGCAATATTTGCTTTTTAATTGACAATTGCACAAGCATGAACGCTCAACCTTGAGCAACATTGGTGGTTGCTGCGAATGGGGTCGGCTGTTTCAAGTACCCAATGCGGTAAAAGTGGACAAACAGACAAATGTACAGACAGACAGACAGACAGACAAACCAAAATTTTTGTGTCGAAGGTCCCCAAGAAAGACTATCCTCTTTGAAAAGCTTGTCGGTTTTTGACACTAGTGTCGCGATAAATATTTGCAGATTTATTGTAGAAATTTCATGTGACCTGATTATACAGAGTGTCTTTCATTTTAAGCGATATTGATTTTAAAAAAATGATATGATAGCAAAACACCTATTATTTTTGTACATAAGCTCATCACCGAGGTGAAAAAATTTTGCTACACCTTAAGTTAAAATTTAAAAAATAAACTAAAACTCATGAAATAACTTTTTATTAACTTCAGGAATGTTCTATTGAAGTTTAGGGTGTGACTATTCATGGCATTCCTTTTTTTTTTAATCTTATAAATGCATGTAGTTTGGGATAATAATAATCAAAATTGGAAGCCATTGTTGAGGTTATGTCTGAACTGAGTGCTTCCAGGCAGTGGAATAGCTTTTACGCGTCTGGCCAGAACTTTACATGACAAACTAATAAAAGGGTGCAATGCAGCAGAATTGGGTCATCAAAAATGGTAAGTGATCTCAAGTGAGTGGGTTGTTGCATGTGAAGCTTCATGCCTAACTTTTGTGCTCTACCCAAGAAAACCTCTTCACTCCCTCTTCTGCATTAACCTGGAGGCAGTTAGAAGCAAAAGATTGTTTGCATTTACCTATAGTTCAGATTGAGAAATAGAGTGGTTTGGAATCTGTATTATGAAATCTGACTATGTTATCCAGATGTGCTTGCCATCTCCGATGGCATCGAGTTGATCTAGACCTGGCGTTGGTTCTCTGGAAGTGGGCTGTGCATTTCTGTTTGCAAGTAATTAAAAAAATTTTGAATAACTAACGTCCTAATTAATTCAGTATTTGAATGAATCATAGCTTCCTAAATATACATTAGAGGGACCTCTGCCGCTAGTGTCTATGGGAGTTGCAATGCACGGCACTTCAGCGCGCATGGGAATGATAACAGTGACTGCTACGACCCAATGAAATTAGCGAAACCTCAACTTGGCTTGGATCCGTGCAAAACTGTGGCTTTTGGAGAACGGTGGGTCAGGCAACCTCAGGTTCTCTAGGCATATTTTTTTGCATGTGGTGTACTGTGGGTTTTGGAGAACGGTGGGTCAAGCAGCCGCTGCAACCTCAGATTCTCCATGTCTGGGTGTGTAGCGTGTGTGCATTAAGAAGGTTAAGTTTAATCTCCTTGTTGTGCATGCGTGGGCATGTAGGATAAGCTGTACGCGATCGCGAGCTGTGTACATTTGTGTTGTGCTGGATGTGTGCTAAGTGCGGAGTCCTTGTGATGGGCGCGGGCACTGTGAATTGTGCTTATTATTACCTATGCGCTTGACCAACGTGGATGGTGTTTCCAGCGTGAACTTGCACTTTCACTATGTTCTTCAATGTTATTTTTGGGATTCCTAATATTTGATTTTTTTTTCGTGTAAGCCGGCAGCGTACGTTGACTGAGAATGAAATTATGTTTTTTTTTTTTGTTTTTGAAAGAAATATACCTTATAAGTGCGCAGGGAACGTTTTAAGAAGGAAGATAGAGCCGAGAGATTGGACAGAACGCACACTTAAACCAATTTTATTACACAGATGGCGGGAATGTATATACATTCAAGAGGGTGAGCAGATCACACACAGATGAAAACTAATGATGGTGCATGCACCAGACCACATTCTTCCAACCTTGAAATGACAACCTAACTGAGAAGATACTCATATTCATTATCGGACAAATTGACGGACGGGGCACTTACACACTCAGTTCCTGTTTGCGAATCAAAAAGCTTCATATATTTCATATGCCCTCTTGTCTTTATACCTTGCCATTACCTGGCATTCATCAAACTTCGGTGTGCACCCACAATTCGCACAGTGACTTGCCAAGTGGCTGCCCACTGATCCGCGCATCAGATTTGCGTGCTCCCTGAGGCGATCGCTCACACAGCGCCCCGTCTGACCGATGTAGTATCGACCACATGATAAATAAATCAGATACACAATGCCTGTAATACATTCTACAAATATCTTTGCGTGCTTCGTATTGCATCCAACATTTAAATATCCCTCGTAGTCAACTCTTTTACAAAGAGAGCTCAGCTTGTTTTTTTGCCATGAAGACAACCTTTACCCCAGTTTTTTCAACGATTCTTTTTAAGCAGTGCGAAACTTTGTGCACATAAGGAATGACAGACACTTTCGGCTTTTGTTGGTCCTAAGATGCGTGCCGTGCCTTCTTGCCCTGCCTAAATACATTCAGAAGTGATTCCGCTATGCCCGAGAGAAGGTGATCAGGAAAGCCTGCTTTCCCAAGTCTGTTAACTTGGTTGCCAAAACTGCTATGAACCTGGTGAAGGCAAGACCGTGACAATGATGCCGTCACACATGCTTTGGCAATTCTTCGCTTGACAATCTTGGAGTGTGCTGAACTAAAGGGTAACAGGGCCTTCTTGGAGCGGGGAGCGTATTGCCAGCACATGTATTCTGGCAGAAACATGAGCTCCAGGTCTCAACATCTAAGGCGTTATTGTCAGGGAACTCCGTTCTCAGCTGCAGATTAGTCATGTTCTCATAAAAAATGCTAGAAATCTTGTCAGCGTGCTGCCTTGTGTAACACTGTTCTGCACTATAAAAGACTAAAAAAACCATCAACGTAGCGGAATACCTTAACAGTATGTGTCTCAGCAAGCCTCGCTTGTATAAGTTGGTCATAACGAGCTATTAAAACGTCACTGACGACTGGAGCTAAACCATGACACACGCCCTGTCTTCTAGTGTACCATTTGTCATTTCTTGTGAGGAACGTCGACTGCGAATAAAAGTTCAGAAGTTCAAGAAAGCTATCTACGTCAATTCCACAAAGTTTACAAAAAACATCCCCACCATATCGCTCGATGCACTCTTCAACCACCTCGCAGAAAATGTCCTGAGGTAAGGAATAAAAGAAGTCTTAACGTCCACAAAAAAAGCACAAGGATTTTGGGGACACCTATCACGTAAAAAGTCTGAGACTTCCTTGGGTTTTCTTTCGATGAACGGATTTTCAATGGTCAGGGCTGTAATATGCATATGTAGATACCTTCCAACAAGTTTTTTCCAGGAGTCACGCACTGATACGATGACCCGAAAAGGACAAAGTTTCTTCTGGGTCTTGGCAGTGAAGAAGACAGAGAGGCTTGTACCTTTGCATGTCCTCACTGACAGGGCCGATCTAGTGAGCCCCGCTATTTCGCACAGCTTCTCGGCTTCTCGTTTTACTTTTGCTGGAGCTACTTTCGGCAGTTCTGTGACGTTCCCTGATAAGGCTGCTACCACCTGTTCTTCACAGAGTGGTTTTGGAACCAGGACAAATCCTCCTTCCTTGTCAGACTGGAGTAGCTTGATGTCCGCTTCTTTAAGAGCAGACACGACATGTGGAATTTTTGGAATTCCTTCTCTCATGAATTCCTTAGGCAAACACTTGACTCCCTGTTGAACGCAGCTCTGAAATTCACCAGCTTTTGTTCATCCCGAAGCCTGCCTGACGAGACTGACCAATTCAGTCTGATCAAGCCCCGGATGTACGCAGTATTTTGGACCGAGTTCCAGAAGGCAATCCACATCATTGGGAATCCTTTTGCTGCCAAGAACGACCACTTTCAGCCCCACAACGGGTGATTTCGAATATTTCTTTGGCATGTCATGTCTGCTCTTAAAAAAGCGGACATCAAGCTACTCCAGTCCGACAAGGAAGGAGGATTTGTCCTGGTTCCAAAACCACTCTATGAAGAAAAGGTGGTAGCAGCCTTATCAGGGAACTTCAGAGAACTGTCGAAAGTAGCTCCGACAAAAGTAAAAGGAGAAGTCGAGAAGCTGTGCGAAATAGTGGGGCTCACTAGATTGGCCCTGTCGGTAAGGACGTGCAAAGGTACAAGCCTCTCTGTTTTTTTCACTGCCAAGACCCACAAGAAACTGTGTCCTTTTTGTGTCATCGTATCAGAGCGTAATTCCTGGCGAAAGCTTCTTGGAAGGTATATACAAATGCATATTACAGCCCTGATCATTGAAGATTCCTTCATCATGAGAAAGCCACAGGAAGTCTCAGACTTCCTAGGTTATAGGTGTCCCCAAAATCCTTGTGCTTTTTTTGTGGACGTTAAGGACTTATTTT